AGATCAACGAAGTACACTGCTGAGGGGAGCAGCGGGCGGGTCAGGAGAGGTCTGCCACGCCATGTGGTCACCTCCGGGGCAGGCGGGGATCGAACTTGTGAGTAAGTGGCTTAGGCTTCTTTTGCAATGCATTAACCCGCTGCGCCACCAGGGAGGGCCCCTCTGGGTTATTTTTTATTTGTTTGTTTTACCTGATTCTCTCCCTCTGTATTTCCCCATACAGGTGACACCATCTGGTATTTGTTTTTCTTCTTCTGACTTATTCACTTAGCACAATCTCCTCTGGTTTCATCCATGGTGTCACAAATAGCAAGAGTTTAAAGATTTAATAGGGAGCAGAACAGGTGGAATGATTGAAATATACCACTGAGGGGAGCAGAGGATGGGTCAGGAGAGATCTGCCATGCCATGTGGATCAGCTCCCTGGTCATGGATCAAACTTGTGCTGCAGCCTGGCTGCTGGTCGCTTTATGATGCCATGCTTTAACCCATTGCACCACCAGGGAAGGTCATAGTTTAATCTTTCTTTTAATAGCTGAGTGGTATCCTACTGTGTAAATACAACACATCTTCCTAATCGATTCATCTGTATTTGGGTAATTTCATGTTATTTCCATGATTTGGCTATTACAAATAGTTTTGCAGCAAACATAGGAGTGCATATATTCATGGGGTAGATACCTAGGAATGGAATGGCTGGATCATATGGTAGATCTATTTTTAAAAGCTCTATACTGTTTTCCATAGGAACTGGACCAGTCTTCATTCCCACCAACAGCATCTAAGCGTTCTTTTTTCTTCACTCTTTCTCACCAGCACTTGTTTCTGGCCTTTTTAACAGGTATCGTTCCCACCAGTAGTGTACAAGGGTTCCTTTTTCTCCACATCCTATCATTATTGTTGTTTTTGATTATTTTTTTGACATGGGCCATTCTCACAAGTGTGAGGTGGTATCGCATTGTAGTTTTAATTTGTATTTTCCTGATAAGTGATGATGAGCATTTTTTCATATGCCTGTTGGCCATCTGTACATCTTTTTTGGAGAAGTACCTATTTAGCTCTTTTGGATTGCGTTGTTTACCTTTTATAGAGTTGTATGAGTTCTTTGTAGATCTTGGATACCGTCTCGTTGGTTCTAGTGCCTTGTTGTATGTATGAATGGCAAATATTTTGTCCTATGCAGTAGGATGTCTTTTTGTTCTAGTGATAGTTTTATTCACTGTGCAGGATCTTTTTAGTTTGATATACTCCCAATCATTTTATTTCTTGATTTTCTTGCTGTCGGAGATGAATTCACAATGTATGACTGAAGATCTTCTGTCCATTTTGATTGGATTATTTTTGTTGTGTTTATGGTACTTTATATATTTTGGAAATTAATATACTTTATATATTTTGGAAATTAGCACATCTGATGTGCTAATACCTTCTTCCAGTCCATAGGTTGCCATTCTGTATGGATTTAGTTGTTTTTTTTTTTTTTTTCATGTTTTCCAGTACCATTTGTTGAAGAGGCATTCCTTTCTCCATTTAATTGTCATGGCTCCTTTGTCAAAGATTTATAGTTAGTATTTTTGTGGGTTTATTTCTGAGCTGTTTGTCCCATTGGTCTGTATTTTTTTTCCAGTACCATACTGTTTTGGTTACTGTTGCTGTGTAGTATAGTAATAGTCAGGGGAAATAACACCTCCATTTTATCCTTTTCTTCCATTATTGTTTTGGCTATTTGGTACCTTTTGTTTCATAAAAATTTCATAATTGTTTATTCTATTTATAATTCTTTTCATTTGGGTCCCCCCCCCCCCTCATTTTTGTGAACCAGTAATAGGTTTATCAACTCTGTTTATCCTTCCAAGAATCAGCTCTTGGTTTCACTGATCTTTTCTGTTGTCTTATACTTTTTATTTCACTTATTTCTGCTCTAATTTTTAATTTTTCCATCTTAGTTTTTGGCTTTATCCACTCATCTTTTTTTCCTATTCTTCAAATGAAAAGTTAAATTTTTTATTTGAAACTTTGCTTGTTTATTGCTGCTGTTCTATGTTCCTGTTTATTTGCTTCTCAGTACTGCTTTTACATTAAGCCATACAACCTATAGCTTGTCTCTTTATTTTTGTTGGTCTCCAGATCATTTTTTTGTTTCTCCTTTGATTTTTTCATTGATTCAGGATTTATTCACAAGCATTTTGTTTAGTCTCCACATTTGAACTTTTCCTGTTTTCTTTTTGTAACCAAGTAGAGTGGATTCGGAAGATATATGTATATAGCATATGTTTACACAGTGAAATATTACTCAGCTATGAAAAGCAGGTAAACTCTTGTCATTTGCAACGTGGATGAAACTGAATATGAGGAAATATATCAGAAGGAAAAAGACAAATAGTTGGTAGTGTCACTTATATATAGAATATAGTAAAACAAAACCAAACAAATAACAAACTCTAGAAGTCTGTAGAATTGAATCAACTCTAGAAGTCTGTAGAATTGACTCTACCAGAGTGGAATGGGGCGCAAAATGTGGAGCAGACACAACAGACTGTGGTGGAAGACTATGGGTGCCTTTGTGATGACAATGATGTAGTAACATATGTCCATAGAGGTATAATAATATAAATCATGTTATACACCAATGTCACCTCAATTAAAAAAAATCTTTTAAGTTCAGTGGAATGAGAAAGGAGGAGGCCAAGTCTAGATTAAAAGATTCTTACTACATGTAATTCTGGACCTAGTTTGGATCCTGATTAAAAAAAAACTAATTAAAAAAAATGTTTTAACACAATTGGGGAAGTGAGTAAGGACAGTTTAGATATTATAATTTTTAGGTATATAGTGACTGTTTTGCTTATGCCCATATTTTGAATAGGTGCTTATTAAAGTGTGTACAGGTAACATGATGTGACATCTGGGATTACTTTATAATTTCTAAGGAAATTAAAAGAAAGCAAGCACAAATGAAGCAATTGAGGCACAAATCTTACTAATTCTTGACTCTGGGTAACAGGAGTTGATTATGTTATTTCCCTACTTTCAATGTGTTTAAATTCTTTTGTAATAGTAAAAATAAAACAAACAAACATTCAGAGAGATAGCTGTTGGGTAGCAGGAAGCCAGAATGTAATAAGCAAGAAGTCAAAGGCTAATGTCAAATAGCCCTTTTACTGAAACTATAATGCCAGCTAAGCTAAACTGCAAATTGAGAAGATCAGAAATGTCACACTTAATACAAAAGACGAACCCGAGGATTACATGGGCCCAGATGAGACCAATTATTAAGAAACTAGTTGCAAGTTGTGTTTGGTGGGGATGAGTGAGGAATGTGGACTTTTAACTCTGTATGAGTTACATTACCCAGCCAGATTTTTAAGAGCAGAGCATTTTATGTTTTTGATGTTTGACTTTGTTTTTTTTTTTTTTTTTTAAATAACTATTTAGTAACAACTGTATTTTTACTTTTATGATAAAGGTAAGGATGCCAAATCTGTAAGCAAACAGTATTCTCTGAAAGTAACAAAACTTGAACATGAAGCAGAACAGGCGAGAGTGGAATTATCTGAAACACAAAAGCAGCTACAGGAATTGGAAAACAAACATCTTTCTGATATTGCTTTGAAAGTAAAATTACAGAAGGAGTTCCGTAAAAAGATGGATGCTGCAAAGCTTAGAGTCCAGGTAATTTTCAAAATATAATTCAGTAAACATATGTAAGGCCCCTGGCATGTGAAGACTCTTTCATTTAGTTAGGGAAGTAAGTTTCTGTTTCTGCCAGTAAAGATACTAAATAGCTACTTTTTGGTAGTGCTGGTAGGTTTACATAATTTATAATCTGGGCACTACATTTCTTCATTCAGAAAGTACATTATTTTCATCTTTTTATCAATAACCTCATGGTAAAAATACAGAGAACCACCGAAATAATGTCCTTTTCTGAAGGACAAAAGATTATTAATTAATGTATCTAAAACATCTAGTACCTGTATGGAATTTTGCACACTCAGTAAATGATAACTACTTCAAGACTGTTTCTGAAACCATAGCAGGTTCATTTATGAAAAGTTAATAACTAAGGATGAGTTAACTACAAATCATCCTTATTTCCGAATCTTGGATTTAGCTATAGTCTCAAATTAGCTACATTAAAAGATTTAGTTAAAAAATTTCTTCTGTGAGAAATATTCCATACAGAGAGATTTTGTGTAAAGAAGCCATTTGAAAGTTTGAACTTTTCACAGGTAGTTGTATATGTTACAGTTTCCACTTTCCTTCAGACTTTTTCAGAATCCAGATTTTTCACTTGGCAGTTGACTTCTGAGTCTGGGATCAATCCTTTCTTATTACTTTTTTGTTTTTTTGAAGATTTATTTAGTTATGTATGTAAGAACTGGGGTCTAGGTCGGGAGTTGATGGTGTGTCTAAGAGGATTCACCAGAGACAGAATAGGGAGAAGAACAGGCAAAACAACTGAAATACACTGCTGAGGAGAGCAGAGAGACCTGCTGTGCTGTATGTGGGTTAGCTCCCTGGTCGGGGATTGAACTCATGAAATATAGTTTCTATATCTCACAACTACAATATTGAGATTAAAAAGATTAAGTGAAAGGTTATTAGCAGGGTATATGGATTATGATGTTCTATCTTTTTTCCATTTTTCTTGCTGCATATCCTTTTCTGCTAGGGATTCTGATATTGAAAAAAGGATACAACCAATGTTAACTCTATTAAATGATTTATACAAAAATAATAAAAGTATTCTAGTTCCAGTAATAACAACAAGAAGAAACAGGACTTAATTAAGCTCAAAAGGAAATTCTCATACAGCGGAGAACTGAAACAGGTTTCACATGTAGTTTTAGAAATTTCTGTGCCTTTAACATATTCATGCAAGATTGATGGGTATAGGGATGATAAAGATGAAGTCGGTAGCAGGGATAAGAAAGGAAATAAAAAAATAAACTATTATATTATTTTTAAAAAAAGAAAGGAAGTAATAGTTGCCACTTCTTAGATGTTTCATATGTATTATTTAGTCATTATTTAATCCTTTAGAATGGCTACATTTACTCCATTTTACAAATGAGGAAACTAAGGTGTCTAGAGGTAATTCAGTCACATGTGTGATGGCAATACTAGTTTTCAGTACTTTTGCATCTCATACCATTCAGAAATGTTGCAGTACTGTGTTTTATTGGTATGATGAAATTGTGTCCATTTTTAAAAGTTAAAGTTGTCTTTAATAAGAAAAATCTAAAATCTGTATTCTTTACGTCTTTAGGTATAGTTATGTGCTGCAGTAATATTTTATACAAAGATGCTCTTTTGACTATTTGTGGAAGAAGTGTAAAATAAAATCTATTTAAGATTTTCAGTATTTATACCAATGTTTTCAGTGTTGTGTGAAAATTATTTTAAAATGATTTAAGATTATCATCGTTGATTCAGTATTGCAATTACTGTCAAAAATAAATGGTAAATCAGTGTCCAAGTTCAGGTATGGGAATCTGTGGAGGCTTGTGGCCTCCACTGGTGATACTCAAAGTACCCTCAATAGATTGTCCTTATTGATCTACCATAATATAAAGGTAAGTGGGGGCCCAGCTTCCTCCTTCAATAGTCTACGAAACGACGTCAGCTGAATCTAATAGTGTTCCTAGTGGAGCGGGCTGATGACAATAGTCTGTGACTGGTGCTGGTCCTCAGATAGTGCTTTGAGTAGCTCTATTCTAAGCTGTTGTGCATTGAATAGTTTAAAAATTAAAACAAAATGAGTTTATATTAGCAATTTGTTGCTGAAGTAAAGGAAGTAATTAATTGTAGTTTATATGATTCACCAATGACCTCACCTTAACTTGTTAATATCTCCCAAGAGGTACTTGGTATAATTCTAAAACTCATAATTCAAGCCTGATATGTTTGTTTATTTGATCAGGATTTAATCAGAACACTATTAATTTTATCTGTATGGTAAGCCTTTAAAAATGTCTATAGGTAATTTCTGCCAAATAAGGGGAAGCTTAAATTAATTAAAATAGTAAATATGATGGATGGTCACTCCGAAATAAAGTACTATCAATTTTGGTCATCTGAACTCAGTGATTAATGGTTTGGGTACAGCTATATATGAAAGAAGAGCACAGTGGAGATACTATGCAGTCATACAAGAACAAATCTTTGTGAAAACATCTCTAAAATAAGTATGAAAAAGGGCTGTCCTGGTGGTACAGGGTTTAAAGTCTCAATGCAATCGAGCTATAACAGCCACTGCAGCATGAGTGACCCATATGGTGTAGCAGACCTCTCCTGTCTTGCTGGCTGCTCCCCTCAGCAGTGTATTTCAGTCAGTTTGTTTGTTCTGCCCCCACACCCCCGCGCAGTCTGTCTCTGGTGAATCTTCTCATCCCCTGAACTTGTCCTAGACAAGTTCTTGTATGCATAAATAAATAAAAAATCTTTAAACATAAATTGGTAGGAAAAAAAGGGAGGCGGAGAATAGTCCATTTTGTATATAAAGTTATTTTTGTGCATATAAATTATTTCTGGATGATAATTAAGAAATTGGTTGATTTTGTGTTGGGAAACAGGACAGGGAAAATGTAAGAGATTTTAAAAAACAAAAGTTTAGGTTTGTGTTTTTTTATATTTACATGTAATTTTAAGACAGTCATATAAAAGCAAAAGTGATCAATTCTGTTGGTTGGCTGCCAGCATCAGAAACTGTCATCATTCTTTATATATATCTGGTGAAAAGTTTGATGGTCACCCAGTTATAAAAGTAGTAATACATAAACAATTGTGAACATATTCAAACCTAATCAAAATTCTTACTCTTACCATTGAATGAAAAGTTTGCTTGAGGTTTATGAGATGCGGTTTATCATTTTGAAATATTTCATATGATTCCAGGTTTTACAGAAGAAGCAACAAAGTAGTAAGAAATTGGCATCATTGTCCATTCAAAATGAGAAACGTGCTAATGAACTAGAGCAGAATGTAGATCACATGAAATATCAAAAGGTACAGCTGCAAAAAAGGCTTCGAGAAGAAAATGAAAAAAGGAAGCAACTGGATGCAGAAATTAAGCGGGATCAACAAAAAATCAAAGTAATATTGTCATACTTCCCTGCTAAACATAATGTGAGATGTTAAATGGCTCAGAGATAATGAAGCCCAAGGTCTTGATTCACTTGGCTTTTGAGGTACCTAGCCTTGGCCTGTCCTTGCTGTCCTCATTCAATTTAAAGCTCTGTTCATCTACATAGTAAAAACTATTTATTGAATACTAAGTATTGTCTTGAGGGATTTGATGTCATGTAAGAAAGTATAGTCATACAGTTTCTTTAATAGGGCCTTACCTTTAGTTGAGTCTTGACAAAAAACATAAATATTATAAAGCCAACTTTCTAAATAAAAGCTAACATTTTAATAGGATTTTTCACATTCAAATGCTTTGACATGCATTATCCATGTGCTTGCATGAAAAAAAATGTACCAGGTTATAGTGAGCAGAAGAATCATCAGGTCTGTATGCCTGGCAGTTCTAGGGAATAGCAAATGGGGGAGGAAATACTGACATCCACTGGGCTCTGGAGCTAGGCCAGCATAGGTTCAAATCCCAGCATCCTCATTTCCTAACTGGATCATTTATTGATAAAATCATTTACCCTTGTTTTTGAAGAAGGGGCTGTTGCTAATGATTATGACAGTAGTAACATTTAGCTAGTGGTACTGCCAGGCTGCATTCTATTGAAATGGTAAGCTGAGCCCAAGGTATGCAGCCCAGAGATACCCATTTTAGAATATAATCTTTTCTCAGACTTTAAAAAAAATCACAGAATTTGGTAATGGAAGGGAACCTAAAGAATATTTAAGCCAAGTTACTCATTCTTTTTTTTTTTTTCCCTCTCAAATTATATTTATTGGAATGAAGTTGGTTTACATCATTGTATCTGCTTTGGGGGTTATAGGTTTTAACCTATACAAGTGTGTATTTACATTATGCCCTCCACTAGAGCCCCAGCCACTGGGGCCCTTTCCTCTTCCACTCCCATTCTGATGTCCTCTCCTTCTGGTTACCTCAATTTTGCACTTAAATATTATTTTATGTTTTTTAAACAGCTTTATTAAGATAGTTCACAAACCATGAAATTCACCCACTTAAAGTATATAACTCAGTAGGTTTGGTATATTACAGGATTAATTTTTATAAGCTGCGGCAAAGCAGTAATGAAATTTACCGTTTTAACCATGTTTATGTGTACAGTTCAGAGGCCTTAATTACTCTCACAATATTGTGTAACTCATACTACCATCTATTTATAAAACATTTTCATCACGAATAGGTATTCTATAACCATTAAGCAAAAATTGCTCATTCCTCTTCCTCCCCAGTTCCTGGGAACCTCTGATCAAACTCTATTAATTTGCCTCTCCTAGATATTTCATAAAAGAGAAATACAGTATTTGTCCTGTGTCTGCCTTATTTTACTTAGCATTTTTCAAGGATCACACAGTTACCTTTTTGAGCTTGTATCTGAACTTCACTCATTTTTAGTGTAGAATGATTTTCCATATATGCATATACTACATTTTGTTTATTTGTTAATCTATTGACGGATACTTGACTTGTTTCTACCGTTTGAATAATGTGATAAACATTGTAACACCAGTATCTGTTGAAAACCCTCCTCTTAAAATACTTAGGAATGGAATTGCTGCATCATATGGTTATTCTATTTTTAGTTTTTTGAGTAAATAGCAACTATTCTTAAGATAGGAAGCATCATTTTTACCAGCAATGTATGAAGTTTCTAAATTTCTTCACATCTTCACTAACACTAGTTATTCTCTCCTTTTCTATTGTTGTCATCCAAATACACATGAAGGGCTATCTCATTTGGTTGTGATTGGCATTTCCCTGGTGACAGATGATGTTGAGTATCTCTTCGTGTGCTGATTGGTTATTTATAGATCTTCTTTGGAGAAATGTCTGTTCAAGTCATTTACTTTTTTTTTTTTAAAGATTTATTTATTTATTCATACAGAACTAGGGTACAGGCCAGAGATGTGGAGGGTGAGAGGATTCACCAGGAACAGAGTGGGGAGCAGAACAGGCAGATCGATGAAGTACACTGCTGAGGGGAGCAGCGGGCAGGTCAGGAGAGGTCTGCCACGCCAGCTTTGTGGATCTCCAGGGCAGGAAGGGATCGAACTCATGCAGAGTTGGCTTAAGCTTCTTAGTGCAGTGCTTTAACTAAATGACTTGAGGCCACCAGGGAGGGCCTCAAGTCATTTAGTTTTTAATTGGATTGCTTGCCTTTTTGTTGTAAACTCTGGACATTAAGCCCTATCTACACATAATTTGTAGATATTTTTTACTGTTCTGTACATTGTCTTTAAAGTTACTGGATAATATTTTTTGATGTATCAAAGTATAAGTTTTATGAAGTCCGATTATCTTTTATTATTGTTGCGTTTGCTTTGGTATGATAGTTAAGAGTCCATTGTTAATGCTAAGGTCACAATGATTTTTTCATGTGTTTTCTTCTAAGAATTTTTTGGTGTTAGCTCTTATATGTAGGTCATTGATCCATTTTGAGTTAATTTTTGTATATGGAGTGAGGTAGTTCCAAATTCATTCTTTTACATGTAGAAATTTGCTTGTCTCAGCACCATCTGTTAAAAGAGACTATTCTTTCTCACGGAATATTCTTGATGCTCTTGACAAAAATCTGTTGGCCAAAGATGTGTGGATTTATTTGTAAATTCTTAATTTTATTCCAATTTTCTATGTTTATTCTCAGTGCCATACTGTTTGGAATACTGTAAAACTTGAGTAATAAGTTTAGAAATTGTAAGTTTTGTTCTTTTTTGAGATTGTTTTGGCTGTTTGAGCCCCCTTGCAATTACATAGGAATTTAAGGACTGACTTTTCCATTTTTGTAAGAAAGGCCATTGGATTTTGATGTGAGTTGCATTAAAAATGTGGATCTCTTAGGATGCTGTTGACAATCATGACAACATCAATTAAGCCTTCCTCTCCATGAACAGGGAGTTTTTCAATTTATTTATGTCTTATAATTTCTTTCAGCAATATTTTGTAATTTTTACTGTACTAATATTTTACCTCTTTGGTTAAATTTGCCCCATTTGTTTTATTTTTTTAGATGTTACTGTGAGCAGAATTGCTTTCATAATTACAGCAGTAATCAGCATGACTTATCTTCTGTCAATACTATACTAAGCATTTAAGTGTTTTACCTCATTTAATTCTTTTTTGTCCTTTCCCCCCAATTTTTTCTCTTAATTTCTTTAAACATCTTAAGATTTTTCCTTCATCCTAAAATTATCCTTCTTTAACCCTTTTTTCCCTTCAGTTGCTCTTCTTTCACTTTCCAGTTCATAAACTTCTCAGAAAAGCTTACTGTGTTCACTTCTGTTTCCTCTGCTCCCACTCATCCTTTTCTTCTCTTCAGTCTGGTGTCTAGCTCCTGACCATGAACTTCAAAGCTCTTTAGAAGTTCAATGCTCTGTCACTAATGCCCTTTCCATAAAACCTCACTTGCATCCAACAGAGTTCATCACTCACTCCATCTTGAAATATTTTCCCTTTTGTGAATTATCCTTTGTTTCTCTATTTGACTGCTTGTTCTCCATCTTTGCTGGCTTATCCTGCACTAAGTCTGTTATTCCTGGGAATTCATCAAGGCTCTAGCCTGTGCTTTCTACTCTGTCCTGAGTGACTTCATCTTCTTTCCCATGGCTGCAGTTAAATTCTGACAACTCCTAGATTTAATCGTTAATTACAGATTAGCCCTTGGAGCTCTGAATCCTTATATCTAGCCACTGAAGTCTTCATTGGGCTGTCTTATAGTTGATCTACCTTATTTACAACCCCACTAAGCCCCCTCCCTGCTTTTTTCATAGGGGAAAAAAACTTGGAAAACTTTCTAATGTACATTTCATTCTTCTCAGTTGGGTACTGTCCTCTTTGTCTCTAATCTCTTTTTCATCCCATATCCAGTGAATAAACCACTAATTCCTATAGATTATATTGATATCTTCTGAATATCTTGATTGTGTGTAATTCTTATCTGCACTGACAGTAACCTCGTATCTTTGTCAAAGTCTTTACTCCCACATCTTGAGGTCTTCGCGTGTCAGTTTCTCATCTCATTGAATATGCCTTAAATCAACAACAGATTGCACTCTCTAAATCTATGCTTAGGGAAAAAAAAAAAACTTTTGGTCAGAGTATATTGTCTGCTGAAATGGAACTCCACCTACAATTTAAACTTTTTGCATTCCTATCTGGAGCACTTAGTTTCTTCTAGAAAAATCTCTCACTGTAGGGAAAGGACCCATTAACAGTAGAAAACTTCAGAAAAAGGAACAATCTTCCCCAGACTACTTCATGAAAAAACAAACAAAAAATGCTCATAAGCCCTAAAGGACATCTTACCCTCTGTTTGGGGCTAACTTTCTAGTACCGTTAACCCATTTTTCATTTAACTAGGCCATTCCCAAAAAATACTATGACTTCTACATAGGTTGACCTTAGAGCAGCAGTTCTTAACTGTAGTCCAGGATGAGCTATGAGGAAAAGGTATGGGAACCTCTGAACTTGTGGGCCATCGTGTGATTTTGTACTTTTACTTCTTTAAGCACCAATATCCTCACTATAAGGTGGAGTTTATAATTCTTCTTCTCTCACAGGATTACTGTGGAGATTAAGTAGGGTAAATAGAAAAACCCCGACAAATTAATAGCAAAATGTGTAAAGCAAGCATGTAATAGAGGGGATTCAACCTACTGCAGTATACTTTTATAGCACATATGGAAAACAGGAATAGTAGAGTCAGCTCCAAATATACCATGTCTTTATGTCAGCATCCTGAAGTTGCTGTGACTGTGATGGGCTAAAACAGAACTGTGAGGCAGAGCTAGGGAGACATGAAAAGGTAATGGGTGGTAAAGATAATAATGTCCAGGCTTGCTCAGCTATAACTCAGATGGGCATAGAAAATGTTTTCAGCCTATAGCAGACTGGTTTCTTCATTACCATTCCCACTGTACAACCTTTCATGATTCATGTCATAATTGATAGAAATACGGTAGGAACTAACCACATGCCCAGTCTGTTAAAACCTTACTTTGATCATTTGAACACTCCCTTTGACTAATTAGCTCTTCTGAATAAGAATACTTATGCTCTTAGCCACTTCTCTAAGATAAAATACAGTACATGTGGTCATTGGGTCTGTAGCTCTGATTGCATCATGGGAGTTAAGAGGGATCACCTGAGTTTCAGTTTACTCATGGATATGATCTACTGGAATCTGCTCTCCCTTGTCTACCTTCCCCTGATGATCCCTATAAAACCCCTGGCTGGTATAATTCGTAGTCTGGTCTTGCTTTTAGCTTTGGCATTATCTCTTGTATTAGCATTCTAAATCTCTGTAGAAGATAATAGGCCTTCCATCTAGCTTGCTAGTTCAGTCACCAGTCTTTCATTTTTGGTGTCAGTTCCCCCTGATAACTGATCCCCCTACTGGTTCTAAGCTCAAGGTCCATGTCACCTGAGGAAGGGGGAGATAGTTATTTCACTTTCTGGACCTTTTCTGCTCTGTCAGCAAAGCTGGGCAGTCTCACGTGTGTGTGGGGGCCTCTGCCTGGCAGTCTGTATTCACTCTGCCCTCAGCCATCCCTTGATTTAACACATCCTTTATGGGCCAAAACTCAAGAGAGAGTAATTGGGCACACATCTGCTTACTGTTTATTTTCTCCTTTCTGCCATTTCCAGAACTAGAAAATGGTTGACTTTCCTTTTACTTCCTTTGTATCAATACTCTTGAAATTACCTGTGGGGAAGGTATAGTTTTTACTTTATGATTTACATGTGATAGCCAAGTACATTTGTAAAACATTAGTTAGTAGAAACATGAGCTAAAAAAAATAAAATTTGCAATAAAAATAAGAATCCATCTTTTAATCATTAGATTCAATAGACATAAAGTTATTTTCTCAAATTGTTATAAGCATTTCTAAGTACTTTAAATTTCCCTGTTTACACCATATGGGTGGACCATAATATAAGGATTGGCCCATTTTTTTCATTGCCTTGCTGATTCCTGCTAGGCCTTAGTGTTTGACAGTGGCATCCTCTCTGAATCCCAAGCACCATGAGCATTGAGATGGGTAGTCTAACTCTTACTATGTATATGGATTTGAAAAATATTCTTCATAGAACCATGATCTGTCTTGTGAGGCTATTCTCATATAACAAAACCTGATTTTTGAATGTCAGAAACAGCATTACATTTCTTTTTGCATTTCTAGTTAATTCTAATGTCCCCATGGCAGATGGGTACCTTGGATGAACTGTGATGGCATGAGCTCAGAAAGGCAGAAGAGAAAGCACATTTATAATTATAAATTCTGCTCTATTTTGTGCTAATGTGTATACCTGCAAACATTGAGAAACAGTTTTGTCAGTAAATCACAAGTTTTGCTGTGAAGTTTATTTTATTTGTCTGTTTTATTTTCTTGTCAGATAAGGTACCATTCTTCTTAGTACCTAAGAAAGTAAATGTTAAGAAAGTGATTATCTTTATAAGTATTTAATGTAGTTCAGATAGTAAAAGTGATATATTTCATTTCCATTTTCTATAGGAACTAAAGTTAAAAACAGAACAGGAAGAAGATCTAAAACTGGAGGCTGAGGACTTGGATGCAGTTAAGGTGAGGAGGAGAAACTGCTCATTGGGAAGTAGAACAGCTCCAGGTTTGTTGATCCTATTTAGTGTGTCTGGGTTTCTCCTGGAGAAACTCCCAGTTTTTCCCAGTTCCTCCCAGTGCTTGTCATTTTAAATGTAGGTTAAAAAGTTGTGAACTCTGAATGAAATTTTCATAAAGACTAGATTTTATTTGCCACTGCAGCGCAAAATTTCTAGTATATCTTCAAAGCCATTGTTATTACAGAAATTACTGTCTTGTCCAGAAATGTGCTGTATTCTTATTTGAGCAGAAATGGATTTATTGGAATGTTATGGAATATAAACATGAAATTCATGGTCACTAAATTGTATTTATTCTCATGTAAAGACTTGTTTACTTCCACAAAAACATATATTCATAAATAGGAACCCTCCATTCACATTTAACCTGTGTTTATGCACCACATGTAGTATATTTTAAAACTATTCATTTAACATCATGTTTAATGAAATCTATAATATAGAATTTAAAGAAAACAAAATTTTAATTTCATGTAAATTCTCACATTGTTACTGAAACATTGCATTCAAAACTTAATAATATTCACTTGTAACTATGTCACCTTAATTCTGAAAAATTTATATACTTTAACAGTAAATTTTAGGACATAGATATATTTCTATGTCTTTATTTTACTAATATATTTTAGAAATTGGTTAAAGAATCCTCTCTCATTGACATTTAGTTGCTTGGAAATAACATGCACAGAATAATGAAACATTTTCCAAAATGTTAAGAATGTACATTTTAAACAAATAGTAAAAAGTTTCTAAAATTTACATTGACTGTTATTGGGCTACGAATAACAACAAAGCAAAACCTTTATGCTTTTTAGTGCTGCAAAACAAAATAAGGACAAGATTATAACACGATCAATATTTGTGTCCAAATAGCTTATAGTAGAAACTCTTATAAGAAGGTATTTATAATTAGAACTATATGATAGGAGCTCTTATTGTGAAAAGAAAAAAGACAAAATTTTTTAGAACTTATTAAGATATAGTGAATTGCACAAATCATAACTTTTATCATACCAGATGCAGAAAAATCTATTGTTTAGCCCCAAACCTGGATTATGTTAGCAGACTTCTTCCCATTTAAAAAGCACAGCTAAAACATTACCTGTTCTGTGAGATTAGCAGTGACATTTTTCCTACTTCCCAGACAGAACCAATCCTACCTTCTGTTTCTCTTACTACTTAGAAGTTGGCTGTACATAGCAGTATCAACAATCATAATTGTTTTTGTTTCCCTTTTGTTGTTATGGAACTTACAAAGAATCTGAGTTATCACTGCAAACCTCACACACAGTCAAAAAATATAGAAAGTTCAATATTGCTGGAGCTCATAGGGTCTTCTATATGCCTTTTTAAGGTATAATTTGAAATAACAAAACTATAGTATTTGTTTAATTACTCTGGGGTATTTTACCTATTTCTCATAATTGTAAAGCTTTAGCATGAATAATTTTTTATGTCAATATTATTTAAATGTCACAGTTCTTTACAGGACCATATTATCCTAGTTCTGGATGGAAGATTGCATAGTTCTGGATCTACTTGCTTTGGCCATCTTGGTCTCTTTTTCTTTTTTTAATAACTTTTTTAATGGTGCTTCATTTTTTAAAAGATTTATTTATTTATGCATACAGAACCCTGGGGTACAAGCTAGAAGTGCAGAGGCAGTGACAGGGTTCACCAGAAACAGAGTGAGGAGCGGAATAGGCAAATCTACCATGTACGCTGCTCGGGTGAGACCTGAGAGGTCTGCTGCATCACATGGATCAGCTCCTAGGCGAGGCAGGGAATGAACTCACACTGAAGCTGCTGCATCTAGCTTGCAGTGCTGCGTCCTAACCTGTTGCACCACCACGGAGGGCCATCTTCGTTGCTTTTTCTCATGCACATTCACTGTCTTAATGTCTCGAATAGACATTTGAGCTTGAATAGATTGTAGAAATTGTCTTTTATCAAGTTTGAGAAGACCTGGAAAATAATTCTCTATTGATTTGTTTTCTAGCTGTTTTGGTGGCTGTGTCCATAGTTCAATGGGTAGAGTTTATCTTGGATAGTTATATTACACTCATATTTTTGTTTGTGCTAGTTTTTGAGTTTTCATAATTCAAGAGAGTACAAATAAACTTGTTTTGGTGATCTCTCCAGCTCTTCATTATAACTTTTTATAATCATTTGATGTTGACATGCTAGAATGCTAATTGTATTTCCTTTGCTCCATTATCAGTCTTAAACCTTACACTTTGTATATTCATATACTCACTTCACTGAGTAATTAATTGAATCAGGCACTCATTCATTCATTCATTCACCATTTTATGGTAGGCCAGTTACCAGGCAGTGGGGTGTGAGAAATGAGAAACAGTCTCTGCAATCAATCTAGGAGCACAAGTGGGAGAGCCAAGAGGTTCAATAACTAGCAGTGTAAGTCTTTGATGGAGAATAGGCCACCAGCATGCTCTCAGAACTAACTCAAAGAATCTTGTCAGCTCTTTCTTTGTCGGCCTAAACATATTCCAGAATCTCTAATACATTCAAGGAGTAAATTTTAATTTCTTATTAAACAGTACATCCATGTACTACTAGAACTACTTCTTAATGTTTTTGGATGGAAGCACTATTAAGGTTGTTCTCAATGATAGCTTTCAAATGCTCTTTAAAGTGTTTCAGCCAATTACGTTATTACCATATAAAGTCTATGGCAGTAGGAAAAACAAATAACTGCTTGAATTTTAATATAGAAGTTGGATGAGCAAAAGAAATGGTTAGATGAAGAAGTAGAGAAAGTTCTGAACCAACGCCAAGAATTAGAGGAACTCCAAGAAGACTTAAAGAAACGGGAGGCTATACTTTCTAAGAAGGAGGCTCTGTTACAAGAGAAGAACCACCTGGAAGATAAGAAGCTGCGATCTAGTCAGGTATTCTATTTAATATGTTGTTTGATTTTGGCTGTTAAAACATATATTCTAGGATTTTTTCTCTTAGAAGTAAATCATACCATTATAAAATTAGAAACCAAGAAAAGTCTGGTATTCAGTGTCCTTTGTTTATTACTGCTTATCAAATCACCACCAATACAATGTGTTGCAATTTTGAAGAAAATACTTTACCAACATGACTTATTCATTAACTCTTTAAGGCTACTTTCAATTGTAGTAAGATATGTAAAAGAGAAAATTTACCATTTTGATTACTGTTAAGTGGACAGTTCAGTGGCATTAACTACCTTCAGAGTGCTAAACAACCATCCCTACTGTTTCCAAAATGTCTTTATTACTCCAAAGGGAAATTCTGTAACCACTAAGATAGCTCCCCACATCCCCTGGCAACTTTAGTGGACATTTGAAAAAGAAGTTCTAACATCTGATGCTGCATAGTGAGTGAGTGTTGGGAAAACAGACTTGAACCTATCTAAATTATCACTACTACCCAAAGGGATTGGCAGGGTACTATAAAAGATTTTATGAAATGGAGATACATTTATATTTCAAATTATAAAGACTTGGTACATTGCAAAAAAATATGCTGGAAGACTTGGATTTTATGAATTAAGGAAATTGTCTTACAGTAGCGTTTAACTCAATTTGAAGTTTGAAACAGGAATGATAATGAAGGAAGTAAAAGAAATCAGAAATTACTTTTTAAAAAATGCATACATATTTTCAACAAAGAATTTTCTACCCAGGCCTTGGTCTCCAACAACCTTGAGTCCAAGGTTATGGAACAGAGATCAATAACCTGCCGTTTAGCCAAAGTTTAGGGTTGCATGTTCTTACCCTCTTCCCCTCCAAGAAATAAACAGGCCTACACTTACTTCTTGTTCTCAGTCTCCCAATCACATTGCAACAGTTTTTAGCACTAAGCTGATGGACAGAAGGGTAAGGACAGATCCTCCAACAGTCTAGTCGCTTCTGTTGTATCCAGGTATGTTGCTCACCCTGGCTGTCAGGATCTTATTTTAAAAGATGCTGCTCAATACATGTAAATAACAGCAAATAAATCAAGTGAGTTAAATAGAAAACAGTGATCCAAGACCTATATAATATTCTCTGTATCACAAAAGGAGAGGAAAAAGGAAGAAGTAAGAGAATTTTTTTTCTTGAAATAAGTTTACTTTATAATACCAAAAAAGAAAAACAGGCAACACTTTTCTAGTTTGAACAAAGTGTAATATTTAGGAAGGATGAACATACTAAGTAAGGAGTGCAAATAAATGAAAGTTACAGCAGAGCAAGGCAAAATTGATCTGCTTATAAGTTGTCTTAATAAAACAGGAAAGCAACTTGAGATTGTTATACTGCCAGATTCTTTTCCCAACAAAAAAGCATTAAAGACTACTTTTTTAGCATTACAGAAATATTTAGAAGACTCAGTTATGTGTACTTCATAGGAAATAAAAAAATATTTAAACCATATGCAAACAACTCAAAATGAATCAAAGAACTGAATACAAGAACTAAAATTATAAAACTTTTAGAAAAAGAAATAGGAATAATCTTTATGATTTTGGTTTAAGTAATAGTTTCTTGGACATTGCACCTAAAGCATAAATTGTAAAATAAATATCTGAGTAAGTTGAGTTTCAACAAAATTAAAAACATTTGTGATGCAAAGGACTCTACCAAGAAAGTGAAAAAGCATCCTACAGAATGGGGAGAACTAGATAAGGAACTCTTACAACTCAAGAGTTCCTGTATAAAACATAGAATTGAGTAAGACAATCCTATTAAAAATGGACAAAGGCTCTAATAGGCATTTCTCCAAATATATACTAATAGCCAGTGAGTACATTATAAGATGTTCAAAATCATTAGGTACTAGGGAAATACAAAGCAAAACTTAAGTGAAATACTTTATCACAGCCACTAAGATGGCTATCATCAGAAAAATAGTGTTGGTGAGCATATGAAGGAACTGTAACTTTCATGTACTGCTGGTAGGTAAAATGGTGCAGTTGTTTTGGAGTTCCTAAAAAATTTGAGCATTGAATTATTATCTGACCCAGCAATTCAATGTCTAGGTATATGTGAAAAACATACATCTATACAAAGACTTGTACATGAATATTCATAACATTCATAATTGCCAAAAAATGAAAACACAAATGTACATCAGCTGGCGACTGATAAACACAATTGGTATATGCATACAATGGAATATTGCTCCACAATAGAAAGTAATGAAGTATTGATATTTACTACCACATGGAAGAAGGCTGAAAACATATGTTAAATTAAACCAGCCAGTTACATAAGACCATGAATTACATGATTTGATTCTATGATTCAATGTCCGGATTAGGCAACTGCATAGAGATGGAAAATAGTGACTACTTAGGGAAGGATAGGATTTGGGGAGGAAATGGAATAAATGATAGTGGATATGGGGTTTTGTTTTCTGGGATAATGAAAGGTACTAAAATTGATTGTGCTAATGATCGCACGACTCTGAACACACTAAAACACACCAAATTATACACTTTAAATAGGCAAATAGTATTGTGTGTGAATTATATCTCAATAAAGCTATTACTAAAAAACTATGAAAGGGATGAAACAGCAGCAGAAACCTCAGAAAGACAAAAGATTACAGAAAATGGTTGAAGACTGGAAAGCAAATAGATGCATGATTACAAGCTCTTATTCCAAAGTCTTAGAGACAGAGAAATACCAATGAAAGCCAAGACTTTAACTTTTTTTCCCCAAATAACAGCCTTCTGAGATATAATTCACATCGAACATGCAAAAGACTCAGAAATGAAGGGCCCAAGAGCTTTGTAAGATTTGAGGGAGTCATAAGGATGACAATGAGGTGTATATAGGAAACCATCCTTTTCTTACTTGGAACTAGACGGTTTATTTTCTGATGATTGATCCAGACAGAAGAGGGTTAGAATCCTCGAAACAGGTAATAAAATATATTCTACATATGAACCCTAAGACAGCCATTTTCTATTTGGTTCCCAGAATGCTGGCAGTCAGATTTATGCTTCCCAGCAGGAGACCGGCAGATTTGCTGATACAATTCCTGGAAAAAAAATATAGAAAAATTATAGTTGGTAATCCCCAATGAAATGGCTAGATCCCAAATATATCCTATAGTGACAAATCATACCCACCACAAATCTTCCTCCCTATTTCCTGCCTTCCCCCAATTTTATTGAGGAATAGTTGTAATCCATTATTGTATAAAGGTTTAAGATACACAGCATAATAGTTTGATTTAGACATGTTATGAAATAATTATCTTTTTAATATGTGATTTTTAAGTCTTAATTATGATGAGTATATCACAATGCTACTGACTTTAAAGGAAACAGAACAAAAGAAAAAGAGGAGCTTTGAGTAATAAAAGATACAGCAAGGAGCTGGATATATGATGTTGGAAAATAGACTTAATCTTAAAAGATAGGGCAATATAGTTTTAGCCGTAGAACAAGAACTGCTGGCTATTAAAAACATGAAACAGGCCCTCCCTGATGGCGCAGCGGGTTAAAGCACAGCACTGAGAATCTAAAGCCGCTTCCGCATGAGTTCGATTCCCGCCTGCCCCGGAGGTGACCACATGGCGTGGCAGACCTCTCCTGACCCGCCCGCTGCTCCCCTCAGCAGTGTACTTCGTCGATCTGCCTGTTCTGCTCCCCACTCTGTCTCTGGTGAATCCTCTCACCCTCCGCATCTCTGGCCTGTACCCCAGTTCTGTATGAATAAATAAATGAATCTTTTAAAAAAACAAAAAACAAAAAACAAAAACATGAAACAACTCTTAAAATTAAATAAGTGGCAGAATCAACTTATTGAGGAAATATTCTTGAAAGTGAAAGATAAACAGGAAACAGGATAAAAAAAATTTAATTGGCAGGTAAATCCAAGTAGTCTTAAAATTCAAGTAATAGGAGTTCCAGAAAGCTGCATTAGATAAAAATGGAAGACAGATCATCATCAAAGACATTATACAAAAAATTTTCCCAATACTGGAGACATGAGACACTGGATTGAAATAGCTCATTAAGGGCCCAGCAACATGAATGCTCACAGTATATTAGAGTAGGAAAGAAATACCCTAAAAAGCTTCTAGATAGAAAAGAATAGCACTTGTAAATTTCAAGAATGAGTATGGCATCGGACTACTTAGCCTTCTTTGTTAGAAGTTTAGAGACTTGAAACAGTCTCAAAACCCTTCAGGAAAATTATTTCCAGTCCAGAATTCTCTTTTCACCCATACTCTTAATCAGATGTGAGACTAGGCATTTTCACCTAAAAGTTCCCTCCCAACTAACTTATCTCAGAAAACTAGAGGGTATGTTTCACAAAAATGAGGACATAAAGTATGAAAGTATCAGATGGAAGCATGATCATTGTATATGAAATAGTTTAGCTATGAATAGTGACAGTTTACAGTCATGTAAGCTATCAACTTAATGGAGAACTGTAATATATATTGAGAAAGTAGAAGAGGAGACATAAGACTGCTTAATCCTTATCTTCCAATAATAGACAGTCAATAGGTTATTCAAAACTGATAGTTATTTTGAAACATAGACATACATACCAGAAGTAATAGCTCAAAGGGTAGAAGAAGGTGGTTTTTGGAAAGCGAGATTCAGGTAAAAGTCAGGGTTAAGGGGCTGCTTTTTAAAAAAAAATTATAAACTTGATGGTAATTTATACAGATAATTGATGAGAAATACTTTAAAATTTATATTAAACCAAATGAAAATCTCCATAAACCTAACTGTCCATATTTCCTGATAGAACAAGAGTAGAAACATATCTATTTGCTAGTTTTCTCTGATTTTCCTAGGTCAGATGCAGATGGTTTTCTGACTGTTTTGGGGTATCTGGTTGCTTGTATCTTTTTAGGCTTTAAACACAGATATTTTGAAAATATCAACTCGCCTGAGCTTGCTGGACCAAGAGTTATCTGAAAAGAATGTACAGCTTCAAAACAGCACAGCTGAGGAGAAAATAAAGATCTCAGAGCAAGTTCAAGCCCTCCAGAAAGAAAAGGAACAGCTACAGAGACAAAGAAACAGTGTGGATGAGAAACTTAAAAATGGTAGCGTGTTATCACCTGAAGTAAGTCAGTATTCTTTGGAACTGGAAGTGCTGTATGATGGATCACTTGGATGATAACGTCCATCTCTTTCACTTAAACATAAAAATGATAAAAGTGGTAAACTTTGTTTCCTTGAGATTTCATCAGACAAATGATTTTGCCTGGCACTTTTCAGGCATCACAGCCATGCTTGACTGGAGCCTGTCATGGCCTCAATTGAAGCCCATGAGGTTGGGAGACTAACACTTTCTCATCTAGGGTTTCTCATATGAAACCACAGAACCTAAAACTGATTTGAGAGCATCTTTTCAGTTGTTTCCACAAGGTGCCTACCTATTCTCAATACAGTTTTCTTAAATGATACAAGGTATTTCATGATATACATTGGATGCCAAGGGCAATAGGTTAACAATTTCATGGAACCCTTTCGTGGAAAGAAAGGCTCTGTGATTGGGAGGATGTTCCAAGCTAAGCCTCAGCCACATGGATACATAAAATTAAAATCCAAATAAAAATACCTTTATTTAAGGGATTATATGGTTCCTCTCGCATCTATTTTTTTTTTTAACTGTTCAGAGATGTTTCATTTACTAGCTATCAAATTGTCCTCCATGTAGTCTTTTTGCAAAATTTTACTTCAATTGGCAATGGCACCTGTACTTTACTTTATCAAAGGTGAATTTCTGATCTGACATTTATCTGCAAGTATTCATTCTTGATGTTCTGTCATTACCAAAGCAAGGAAACATTTCTGAGAGGAAGTGAGTTGCTGGAAGTCATACACTTAAGTTCAATCTGTAGTGTTTCAGATTGGAGCAAATATGAGAGGAAGATTAAGCAGTTTGGCTAGGAAGGAACAAGAACAATAATTTCATGAAATTAGATTATTGCTCATTGAGTTGATGAAAAGAATTGAAGATTAACTTGTTGGGGCTACATGGCATTGTAAGCTTCTATTGCCCTGTTTTATAACTTGGTAGCTGTGCAAAGAATCACAGAACCAGGCTGTTAAATTGAAGCCTAAGCTTACAGATACGAAGGTATAAGAGTCTAAAATACCGCAAAACATATATGTAAGGAGTTTTTGCCTGCTCAACTCTGTGAAAGAAACAAAAAAGTAGAAAGTAGTGTTCACTTACAAAACTTATAGTTTATCTGGGGGAAAAGAAATATACAAAAAAGGACTATATTCTGAAGAACACAAAACATTAATGTTACAAATATTTCAGATCCCGAATAAAACTATACATATTATTTTATACAAAGCAATTCAGTGATTATTTGGAAGAGTCCTCTATGGACTGGGAAACTTAAGATGGATTATGAACAACATGATATATTGATCAGAGTAAGAGAAAAGACTATTTTAGATAGAAGACTTAAAGAATAAAGATAGGAACAGAGAAATTATGTTTTCGAAAAGCAGAGGGTCAAGAAACATTGACATTTCTATTTCATATAGAATTCTGTGATGAAAAGCATTACTCAGTGTTTAGGGGTGAATATACAGCACCCTGTGTGATACCTATTTAGCATCCACTCTGGGCTGGTTTGGTGCAGGGTGAGCCTACACCAAATTAAATGAGCTTTTCTGTGGCCTTCTTCCACATGATGGTGGTGAGTCTTTTTTAAAATTATAACACCATGTAAGGTTCAGGTGTGCAGCGCTGCAAGTCAACACATGTATGTAATTCCACATTACCTTCCACACTGAAATTCTAACTCTATCGTTCACCCCACAGTGATTCTTCTTAATGAGCTCCGAAGTAGGTTCTGCTTTCACCTGTTTTCAAGCCAAGATTAATATTATTTGTCAATAGCAAATCACCAGGAACACGCGATCCTGATGGGATACAAGACAGATAAAATCTAGGTGGAATGGGCAGTTTTGAAGGCTTTAAACTAGGTTGGAATTATTTTCTCTTTCCACCATAAATTAAATATTTTTACTAATTGTACTTACTTCATGGGAAATGAAGATTTTGGATCACTGTATTAGTGCAAAATTATCCAACTATTTTGCTTTTTAAATATTTTGGTGGTTTTTTTTTAAGTTAGCAATACTTTGCATAAAATACAGAAATGAAACAAAAATGTTACTTTAAATCTACTTTACTATTAATGTTGAACTGCTGCCCAGCAAGTGCAATATAAGAAGTTAATATAAAAATTGTAATATCTGTGTTTATTTTAACTTTTATCCTCATGTTTTAAGATTGGGCTGGCTAACCTCTGGGTCCTGAGGTCATGTTGCCTTTTATTATCTGGTGAAATTAAATTTGCTCCAAATTGTTCCTAGCCAACATATCAAAGTATCAGCAGTCACTGGTGCTCACTTAGAACTTGTTTCCAAAACCTCTCATAGTGAAACAAATGAAGCAAAGCACTTGCCTCAGTATGTATAGAGTATGTATAAAGGCTGTTTCCATATTTGTGCTTAATAAAGTATGATCATTCAGAAGTCAAACATATACTTTGAACTATTTTCTGGTTCCTCTTTTTTATTTACCTAAGCACCTTTTTCAGGATGTAAATTTGTTTTCCTTTATTTATTTCTATTATTTTAAAAAATATGTCCTCCTTCATTTTTTGTGCTATGTACAAAATTCCCACCACCAGTTCACTCTGCACCATCACCATAGTCCCTTGTGTTCTTCCCACCTCTGTCCTGGTCCTTCTCCCTCCTCCCCTACAGAATGTCTCTGCTCTATAGTTGCCTGATGATTTTGATTTTTACTTTATTGTAGTTCCTTTTTTTTTTCTTGATTCCTTTTTGGCTTTCTCTGCATTCCTCTTATAAGTGAGAGCATTTGATTTTTTTTTTTTTCATTCTGGCTTATTTCACTGAGCATAATCCTTTCCAACTCCATCTATGTTGCTGCAAAGGGCATGAGTTTATCCTTTATAACTGCTGAGTAATTCTTTCTTTTGAGAGATTATCAAAGCAGTTGTTCAACCTCTCACTAAAACAAGTTATTACATCCTATCCTCCAAATACCAGAAAAGAATTTCTAAAAGTCACCCTTACTATTCTGTAGGTAGATCACAAATATTGATAATTATTTTCCTTTGAAATTCTCGGGGGAGGAGTAGAGAGAAACACTTGGGTTGTGTAACTAAGACATTTGAAAATACTTTTTTCTCTTAACGCATTCAGCAGACACTCAGTTCAAACTAAGTGATATATACTGTGCTGGGCAATAGACTATGAGTATGGCAAGACAGCACAGGTATACAGAAATAGATGTCTAGATCTTAGCAAGTCTGAAATAACTTCTTACCAGAGCTTTGGATTCCCATTCCCCCTACTCCTACAAATAACATGTTACTCAGATTTTTCAAAGAACTGCTAGGTTTTCAGACATGGATTTCATCAGACTTTTTTCCCTACAAAGGAAATCTGGCATATGAAAAAAATTGTATGCAGTCACCATTTTTAATGTCTATGATTTCCCTCTGATGACATTTTATAGGAACCTTATGAAATGTATCATATTCTTAAATCCTCAGTAGTTGTTTTTTTTTATCATAGTCTATTTTTACATCACTTTGTGCCTTTTTTCATCTCAGCTGCCATCCCTGTGAACTTCCCATCACCAGTTCATCCATGTGCCATCACCGTAGTCTGTTTACATTATTTCCCTCACACCCCCATTTTTTATCCCATTCCCCACTTTAACCCTATAAAATGTCTCTGGTAGATAGTTGTTCATTTTTATTTTTTCCCCCCTGGTCCTTTATGCTCCTGCTATGAGTGAAAACCATCTGGTATTTTTCTTTTTCTTTCTGGCTTATTTCATTAAGCCTGATCCCTTCCAGCTCCATCTGTGTTGCTGCAAAAGGCCTGTGCCTATTTTTTTGATTGCAGAATAATATTCCACTGTAACCCTCACTATGTTTTTATGCCATACTCTGCTTTTTTCCCATAGACTCTTCTTGGATTATCAGTTCTTAATAACTTACCCAAAATCTATTTCATTCTTCTCTGCTAGCATTATACAGCTTTAAAAAAATAGTATAATAATTTTTTATACATCAGTTTGTGCCTTTTTCCATCTCAGTTGTAATCCCCATGGGCTTCCCATCACCAAATCACCCCTATGCCATCACCATAGTCCAGGGCACTTCAACAATATATTGTTTTTAATAAATCCTTGAAGGGACATAAGGGGTTCTTCAGATTTCACCGTATATCTGTAGTGATAGACACCTCTGCCAATCCCATGGGCTGAGGCTTTATCCAAGGATATTAATTAATAGTCAGCACTTACAGGTTGACCTTGGAACATTTTAACAATTCATCTGAGCTTCTCCTTTTCCATTTATTACATAAGATTTGTTGCAAGGATTCAATAGCTATATATGCTTTTTTAATGTGTGTGCGTATGTATATATACATTGTGTAGTAGAGCAAGGCAAGCATTCAAATACTATTTTCTTAAAATTTAGAAGAATAATGTACATTAGATTCAGATAGCATAGAAAGATCTTAATATATGATAAAGTTCAAGTTACACTATTTCATTTTAAATGCATGATTTCTATTTTGTTTTTTAGGAAGAACATGCTCTTTTCCAACTTGAAGAAGGAATTGAAGCTTTGGAAGCTGCGATTGAATACAAAAATGAAAGTATCAACAGTCGCCAGTGCTCACTTAGAGCTTCATTACAAAACCTCTCTCATAGTGAAGCAAATGTCTTGGAAAAACTCACATGCCTGAGTCCTGTTGAGATTAGAGCTATTCTTTTCAGATATTTTAATAAGGTTTGTTTTTGAGAAATAGAATATTTTCCTTATAAAGAAGGGATTAAATTGCTTCCATGTACATTTACTTAGAACTTTTTTAAGAAATGAAAAGGCCTAAGACCTAAAGATTTGATGTTAATAACTACAGATATAAGCATGACTTTTTTTCTTTTTTTAACAGTACTAAATGTCATCTGATGCCTAGTGATGATACACAGACCTAACTTTGTGGGGTTCTGAAAGTCAAAGAACCTTTTAAGCGAAGGACCTTTCAAAAAGGGTTTTTCAAAATTACTACCAATTCAGAATCTCAACAAATTTCAAGCTGTTAGATTTATGGGTATTTGCCTAGTGATATATCATGATGATTAAGGAAGTTCATTTGATGTAATCTAAGAGAAGTAGATGATTAGGCTAAGACACACTTAAAAGGTCAAAAATGTATTTTTTAGGTAGTTAATTTGCGAGAAGCTGAACGGAAACTGCAACTACAGAATGAAGACATTAAAATGAAGGTACTGGAACAGAATAATATAGTTCGTGAGTTGGAGTCTTCACTGGAACATCTGAAATTGCAATGTGACCGGAGACTGACCCTCCAGCAAAAGGAACATGAGCAAAAAATGCAGCTTCTGTTACATCAGTTCAAAGGTACCTATTCCTTCCTGTCAGTTGTGTAAAAGTGATGTGCAAGAGGAAGATTGAAGAAGGAACCCAAGACAAAATGTGATCACTTAAAAACCCACATGAATAAAGTGTTACTTACACAGCTTTGGTGTTTACATTTTTGGCTACATGTTAAGATACCTGAGTTTGAGGTAGGCTGTTCATATTTGAAAGCCATTCCTTCTTCCTAGCCCCAGCGCACATATAAGAAATGCTGCAGTTCTGTTTGTTGGTGGTCAAACTTTTATGTAGAAATGTGGGAATTCTGGGTTTGTGTTATACAGCTGAAAAATTCTGTCTTCTGTGATATTTAAATTGCTTTCCCTTTACAAAATTAAATTATCACATTTCTAGTTCTAGATCGTAAATTTAATTTATTAAAGTTATGTCTTAGGGAAAAATTACTCTACCAGTAGTGGGCATATACTGTTACCAGTTTCCAACAGAACTCTGGTGTGGAAAGAGCTGTTAAAATAGTGATCTGGGATTTAGCTCAGCATAAACAGCTACTATGGCAAGACAGTCCCTGCCAGGCTAAACAGGTACTGCTGCTTAGTCTTGATACTTAAGATTCTATTGCTGGAAGTGGGTTAAAAGGGATCTGGAAAAAGTGACTGAGTAAGCAGAACATTAGAAATAAATTTAACTCATTTGAGTGTGGAAGCAGTTTGCCTTTAAATTAATTCTATAATTAATGAATTAGTAACCATTTGCAAGGTGGTAAGATTTCCTTGATAGGACTCCCTGTATCATCTCATTCAAATAGGTCTATTACCTCATCTCAGATCTGTTGTCTCTAAATATATGTTTTAATAGAGTTGTTAATGCATTTTTGAAGTGACTGGTGTTGTACCTCAATAGCTCAATAAGATAAGTGTGAATTTTTTTTAATTATTCATTTCTGTAGCTATGCCTGTTTTTCATTGAGTTGAAAATGTTAACAATGACTTATCTAATTTCAGCTAAATATGGGACATAAACTTAAGTTGATTCATATTATTTTGGGGGGATTCTCATTTGTGATTTATTAAATTTAAGTATTTTTATAAACAAGATGATAGATTTAAAGCATGCAAATATACTTAAGTTTTACAGACCAGCCAGTTTTAACAAGAAAATCACAACATTGGACCATTTTATAAATGTATCAAATAGGAAAACAGTAAGTTTTAAAAGTCTATGATATTTTCAGGAGGTCAATAAACTGGGAGCCTCCTCATGGCCTAGGGGTTCAGTCTCAGCACTATCACCTCCATAGCTTGAGTTTAATGGCCAACCAGGGAGCTGACCCACATATGACACAGTGGGACCTCTCCTGTCTTATCTGCTGCTCCCCTTAGCAGTGTATTATTATAGTAGATCTGCCTGCCCTGCTCCCCTCCCTGTCTCTTGTGAATCCTCTCACCTCCTACATCTCTGGCTTACTCACCATTCTTCTACACAAAATAAAAATCTTTTAAAAAGGGACCAGGGTTGTCAAAAGACACAAAAACACTGATTGAAAAAGATACTTGTACCCCCATGTTTATTGCTGCTTTATTTACAATTGGAAAAACATGGAAGCAGCCCAAGTGCCCAAAAGTAGATGACTGGATAAAAAAGATGTGGTACATATATACAATGGAATATTACTCAGCAACCAAAAAAGAGAAACACATGTCTTTTGCAGCAACTTGGATGGAGCTGGAAAAGACCATGCTTAGTGAGATAAGCCAGAAAGAGAAAGAAAAATACCGGATGGTTTCACTCATAGCAGGAGTATAATGGACCAGGCGAGAAAATAACAAAAATAATGAACAACCATATACCAGAGACATTTTGTGGGGGTGGAGTGGGGAATGGGATAAAAAACGGGGAGGGGGGCCCTCCCTGGTGGCGCAGCGGTTTAAAGCACAGCACTAAGAAGTCAAAGCCACTTCCGCAAGAGTTCGATCCCCGCCTGCCCCGGAGGTGACCACATGGCGTGGCAGACCTCTCCTGAGCCGCCCGCTGCTCCCCTCAGCAGTGTACTTGGTAAATCTGCCTGTTCTGACCCCCACTCTGTCTCTGGTGAATCCTCTCACCCTCCACATCTCTGGCCTGTACCCCAGTTCTGTATGAATAAATAAACCTTTAAAAAAATAATAAAAAAAAGTAAAAATGTTTAAAAAAAAAAAACGGGGAGGGGGAGGAGGGAAAAAAAAAGGGACCAGGGTTGTTTAAGTCTCAGCACTCTCACCAGAAGATCATCAAACTGGGCTTGTTTCCAGAACATATATCAATGGGAATAGTTATATTAGTTAAAATATAATATAATAATAATAATATAAAATAGTTAATGTTACATTGTGGCATAAACTGGAACTTTATGCTATTTTCCTTTTTAATCCTTTTCCCTCTCTAATTAAATTTTAATCTTTCTAGCTTCTTTTGACAGATTTTTGTTTGGGGGTTTGTTTGGTTGGTTTCTTTGGCTGTGTCCTTCTTGGATCTGTAATTTTCCATATATCCATGGTTCCTGATATAAACTTTAAGAAGATATTAATGCAGCTAATGAATAGAGTTGCAAACATGAACTTTTATAGAAAGCATCTTACTTCTAAGTGTAAATCTAGTTAGTAACTAGATGGGATAGAGAAAATGAATTTTTCATCCTACTATGAAAGATTTTACAGGAAGAAGAACTCAAATTCTAACTGAAAACAAATCTATCAAGATGTATTTTTGATCTTTGAAATATATTCTGGGACTGGTAGAACATGATTTTCATTTATTGATTTAATACTGGGCTTGAATGTAAATTTCTGTCTTATAGAGCAAGATGGGGAAGGCATTATGGAAACTTTGAAAACATACGAAGATAAAATCCAGCAGCTGGAGAAAGATCTTTATTTCTATAAGAAAACCAGCAGAGATCTTAAGAAGAAACTTAAGGAACTTGTAGGGGAAACAATTCGGAGGCAGCTAGTACCATCTGAATGTAAGACTTTCAGTGTCACCTGCCATGCTAACAGTCTCTTCCCTAGCATTTGCTTGGTTTGTAGTGTGGCCTTTTCCTCTTTAATTGGGTTCTTTAGAATTAGGTTTTTTTTTTTAGCTCAAATTTTGTTGATTTATCATCCATCTTCATACCTGTAATTTTGGGGTTATACTTTCATCTCTTAACATATCTACATGTTTCACTCACCCTCCACCCAAGCTCTATTGTCACTACCCTGTCACCTCCCTCTGTTCACTCCTCCCTCCCGCCTTTCCTCTGTAAAAAAGCATATTTTTCAGAGTCTAGAGTCATTGTTGTTGTCTTCAACTCGTGTCTACGTGTATAAGACAGAAAGAACCACTTAAAAAGTAAAACAAGAAACATATGCATGTGCAGGAAATAATATTTATTGATTGGCTACCATATACTAAGTACTTGTATTCCTTAACTAATTTAGTTCCTAAATAACACTATAATCTAAGATAACTGTTATTTTCCTTTTTTATAGTAAATTAAATTTTCGATTATCACAAAAGTATGTTGAGAATTTTAAAAGTAAAGGTAAAACCATGTATGTATTTTTAAGATAAATCAGGTTCTTTCTATTTCATAGAAACTCCTCAGGAAATGAGAAAATGTAGTAAAACAATGGTGTATAAACAGATAATTTCTTGTATAATTATGTCTAGCTATAGAGAAATAGTAAATTCCTAAATTACTGATAAAATAACAAAACACTTTTGCAAAAGCAAAAAAATTTCATGAATGTAATAGAGCGCTATGATTAAAAATATACTTCAGTCAGCTAATTAGAGAAGAATCGATATTTCTAAAATAAAATAGTCTACAAGAGAAAACATTCTTATTAAGTATCAGAAGTTGACTTTACAATTTTTCAGGAACATACATATTTTGTGTTTAAAGAATGAGATGTAAAGAAACCAGTGAAAAATATGTGCAATGAAAATATAAATTCCAAACATATAAGCATAATTCACAGTTTATAAATAGTTTAGAAAAGTAGTTCTAATGCAAACTTTTATTTATATTTAACATCTATAGACATTTAACCCTCAAACTCAGGATTGGCCTTAGTGTGTGTGTGTCTGCTAACCCCACATTTAGGTGAAGGAAATTAGGCCAGAAAATTCAGGTAACTCACACAGTAGTTAGAATATGAACTAAGTTTACTTGTCCTCATTCTGCCCCAGTGTACTAGGATAAAAATTTCCGTAGAATAAAGATGTGACATGAACATAGAAACTCCTGTCAAAGACACTAAGCTTTCTGATTCTCAGTATTCTACTTAATATGTAACTGTCTTGGCATTTAAAATATTTTTTTCATTATTTACCTAGAAGATTTGTATTTGTCTTGAATATTTTTAGCATTTTCAAGTAGCAGAAAAAAATCTTTTGATTAAAATATCATGGTTCTTGGTTATCCTCTGTTAAAATGCATCTGTTTTCTAACTTTGGTTTTATTTTGTTTTCAAACATTTTTATTGGTTTGCCATTAGTTTTCAGTACTGTGTAAATATTGTGGCACTTCACACCTCTACATCCTTATTAGCTTCACTACACCCACCACCAAAGTCCAAGTGCCATTCCTATTATCATGTGGACTCCCCTACCCTTTAACCTACATTTCCCTTTCCCTCTCTCTTTGGTAACCATTGCAATTTTTGGAGAGTTTTAAGTGTTTCACATACTTGTGACATGCAGTCTTGTGTGTATTTAAAATTCTATCCTTGTGTCAATTTAAATCACTACAAAACTATGTGAGGACACTAGAGAAATATAGTAGAGTCGAAAGATCTGGTTGGACTCCTTTTACCTTCTCCAGTTTTCCCTTCAAAAGTAAAATTCCAGAAGAGGGCCCTCCCTGGTGGTACAACAGGTTAGGACACAGCACTGCAAGCTAGCCGTAGCCACTTAAGTGTGAGTTTGACACCCCACCACCACCACCCAAGGCCAGGCAGACCCCTCCTGACCCACCCACTGCTCCCCTCAGCAGTGTACTTCGTGGATCTGCCTGTTCTGCTCTCCCCACTCTGTCTCTGGTGAAGCTTCTCACAGCCCCTGCAGCCCTGGCTTGGACCCCAGTTCTGGATAAATAAGTAAATAAATCTTTTTTAAAAAAGAAAAATTCCAGAAGAGGAAAACTTTCTGTTGTGAAGAACCCAGGTGGGCTTAGGAATGAGCCTCTCCAATGAACCCTCCTGCCTTTTCATTTGAGATCTTTAAAAAATAAGCTGTCTGACTCCCTCCCCTCAGACACTGGAGCCTCTAATGTGAAGCCAAGGTTGGGAGTCTCTGTCAATGGTCAACTTTGTGAGTATCTGCTAGTTTCATGTGGGGATCTATGTCATTTTCTAGTTAGGTTTTTTCTTTGTGACAGAATTTTTAAAACTAGAAAACCAGAAATCTTTTAAACCAGATGTTACAAACTAAAAGGCTTGTAGGAACCTGGAAAGGCAAAGTGAGTGGTGGGAATAGCAGCAGTTGATACAGGAATGGGATGACTCTGCTTCAGCTGCTATTGCTGTGCAGAAACTGACAGTACTTCTCGTTTTTCTATAAAAGTTGGAAATCTATATTTTTACATGAAACTTTACACTTTAAATTTTGGAGTCAAATATCTCCTAGGCTAAGTAAAAAGTCTTTAGGCAGGGTGAAACTTTGTTTTTTTGACATGGTGTTTGCAGGCAAAGAAGTAAACTAATCACATATTGGCAGATACAAAAAGGTGACATTTTTCATCAGATTAGATCTAGTACTTGTATGGACTTCCTTAAGCAAATTTTGGTCTTTGATATTAGATGATTTTATGATTTGAGGATCTGTGATGTCCTTACTTCAGTCACTCAATTCAAAAGGGTGTTTCCACTAAGGGTATATTCCTAGGAGTAGATTCGGAGAACAGAAACCTTGCTTGCATGTTAGGTGCACCAACCAAGATTAGATTCCATATATGTAATGCCATGTCCCAGAAGATTCCCTGGACAAATGGGGCAGAGCCAGTATTCTCATGTGCTGGCTTTTTAAAACTGGGATGTGATTGACCAGTGGCAAGCCCGGGGGGGCAGGTATGAAAGGGCACCAGAGAGGCCCAAGGCATCTTGTGTTTCAATGGAATACGAAAATCTCTAAATTACTTTACGTTGTTATGTGAATTAAAAGTGCTCAGTTATTCACATTCAAAACACATCTAAGTAAAATTCATAGTCGTACTTCTTAAAATTCATAGTCATACTTCTATTTGTCTAAAATAAGTCATTTAACAAAAAAATTCTGGAAGAATTTATACAGAATGCTAATGATATACTTATGCTGAGATAAAATCAAAATAATGATTTTTGAGGAAATCTTACTTTTTTTTCTTTTTGGATCATTCTTAGATCATGATGCTGGAGATGGAATCTTGAACATAGAAGAAGCAGGCCTGGTTTCAGAAGAATTAAAATGGGCATCCAGGACTGGAAGTATGAAATTATGTGGAAAGGAGAGAGAATTAGACAGTTCAGCAAGCTGCTTAAGAACACAACCAAATCCTCAGAAACTCTGTGAAGATGGACCAGAAATATCTCCAAGTTATAGCGTCTTAGCACCCACTAGTGGCCATTTGTTAAACAATGAGGATAAAACAGAAATACATGAAAGTCAATTTATAAAATCTCATAGTCGCCCACCAGTCCAAATCCAGCCAGTGGGAAATGTGGGGCAGCTTCATGGTGTCACACCTGTAAAGTTGTGTCGCAAAGAATTACGTCAGATTTCTGCCTTGGAATTATCATTACGTCGCTCCAGTCTTGGAGTTGGGGTTGGATCTGTGACTGCTGATTCCATTGAAGTAGCCAAGAAACTAAGTGACTTGAAAACTTAAGCACTTAATTATAGAATATTTATTAAGTAGATGTATGAAATAGTTCCTTTTTCTAATTTTTAAAACTTAAAAAGCTTATGTGTACTAGCTTTTCCCTCAAGATAAAGGAAGAAGGGGAAGAAGAACTGCCGCCTAAGCCCTTTTGTATACTATAGATAGGTACATCTCCAAGAGTATATTTGGGGAGTTTTCATTTTCATATAACTTAGGAAATATTACCCATACTGTTAAGCAGTAGAACTTTAAAATGTTTCTACTTCTAAATTTGCTTGGATTTTTTTCCCCCCAGGCATATTTGGAGAACAAAACTGTAGACTTATAAACTAAAATACCCATCAAATGTATATTATTACATAGTAAAAAATGTATATTATAAAAGGTTATAATTATTTTATGTTTATTTTGTTTTTCTCAAAAGTACAGTTGGTTCCTGAACAATGTGGGTTTGAATAATAAGATTCCACCAAAACATGGATTTTTTTCTATCAGCAGATTCCATATTCTTGGATTCATCCAACCGCAGATGTCAGTAGGTTGAATCTTTTCATGTGAAACCCGTGTATATTTATGTGAAATCCACAAAAAACATGGGTTTTTTTCTATCTGCAGATTCCATATTCTTGGATTCATCCAACCACATATGTCAGTAGGTTGAATCTTTTCATGTGAAACCCGTGTATATGGAGGGCCAACTATAAATTCTATGCCTGTTCTCAAGTGCATGGCAGTTTGTTCCCCAAGTCCCTAATTGTTCATAGGTAAAACTATATATTTTTATTTTTGTTAAGTATTACTTGGGTCAGAGTGAGAGTAACCTGCTGCATGTATTTTGGTACACACTAACGGAAGTCTAAGATGCAGTCTGGGCTACGGAAACTGGCTAAGTGGGTGTATGCATTAGTGTAATTTATGGCCAGTCTTAATTTTGTAAGCATGATCTCACTCTTTCTGGATTTTTTTTTAATTTAGACTTTAAATTATATTAAATGTATGACATGATAACTTAATTATAAAAATATATTATTTGTTTAGAAATAGCATTAGTTTGCTATTATTATAGAATATAAATTTTCAAATCTCTCCTGCCCTATTCCAGTGTATCTATCATTATGCTACTAAATTGGGGAAAATGGATGCAGTTCCATGGAACAGGGAAACAAGGATAGAATAACACTAAAGCATCCTCACATTTCAGGGAAAAGATACCTGGTCATATGGCACATACATGATTCTATAATGTGAAGGCAAACCAGAGGATCTTTAGCTAGTAGTCTCATGGGCTTAATCTGAGATTTTTTTTTTTTCAACAGCCTGCTCAGTGACCCCTTGAAAGCAAGGAGGTTGCCCTCCCTGGTGGCACAACAGGTTGGGGTAAAGCACTGCAAGCTAGTCACAGCCACTTTAGTGACAGTTCAATCCCAGGCCTCAGAAGTGATCCACATGGCGCTGTAGACCTCTCCTGACCCGCCCTCTGATCCCCTCAGCTGTGTACTTTGTTGATCTGCCTGTTCTGACCCCATTCTCTCTGGTGAATCCTCTTACCACACCTGCATCTCTGGCCTGTACCCCAGTTCTGTATGAATAAATAAATTTTTTTTTAAAAAAGGTGGCCATACTGTAATTGAGATTATAAATATGTAAATGAAAATATTTATTGAATACATTTTTAGTCTAAACCTTACAGATTATAAACTTCTGTTTGGAATTAAGAAGTAATAAATATTGATTTAAAAATACAGCCTTTTTTTTTAAGATCTATTTATTTATGTTTATAGAATTGGGGTACTGGTCAGAGGTGTGGTAGGTGAGAGTAATCACCAGAGACAGAGTGGGGAGCAGAACAGGCAGATCTACTGAAGTACACTGCTGAGGGGAGTAGCGGGCAGGACAGGAGAGGTCTGCCACTCCATGTGGGTCAGCTCCCTGGCTGGGAACCGAACTCATGCTGCAGTGGCTTCCATGAGCTTCATAATGTGGTGCTTTAACCCTTTGCACCACCAGGGAGAGCCAGTACAACCTATTCTTTATCATACTCTTTAGTTACAGAAAATATCCCAGTCTTATGACCAGTCATTATCTTTTTTACTTTACCAAAATGTTACTTGTATAATAAAGTTGAGTTTCTTTAATGAATGTCTGGAAGTTACAGTAGCAATAGCACCCTCACTTATGGGTGTGTACTCAATTAGTTACTTACTCCCTTGCAAAGTCCTTTTATTAAATCTAATATGCCACTGATGGTTTACTTTTGTCCTTTTCTCTGTTAGTGAGGATCATGACCACTTTATCTAAGATCTAAACTGTGATTCTGTATTCAGACTTAAAGTCCCCTTTTTCTAGTTTCCTTAGTCCCATTGCTAAGAACCAAACTAAACCAAAGCAAACTGATGAATGGTTTCATTATTTCTTATGCATAGTACTAAAATCCATTTAAATTTTGGCTTAGATAGTCTTCTGTCCCTTTCTTGGAAACTGAACCACAGCTTAAAACATTGACCCAATGAGAAACTGCTTCAGACAACTAATGTGCAAACAAACTTGGAAATGTTAACAGGGAAGAGTTGAAGTAAGGTGTTCTGGTTTTAAGCAAATAGTCTCCTCTTTTTGCCTTTGCTTAATGATACTTACTACTTAATATATGTGATATATATACATACATGTAATGGCAAAAGAATTGTGCCTTCAAAGCAGAGCAATCTTTTACTTATTAACAAGTGAAGATCCCAATTATATATTAAATTCCTTGTAATAGTAAATGATAATTTAGAAAGAATGTAATAATGTGTTCTGACACTGGAATCCTGCTTGGACAAGAAATTGACACTTAACTGTTACCTGTGGACAATTAAGAAACATAACAGAAACATATGTTTCATGACAGAAACATAACTTCTAAAAGCAAGAAAAGTTTTATCAAAAAGTGGTAAGATTTACTAATGCAAATGTGAACTGACTTCTAAATTACAAAGATACATACACTTTTCCCCCTTTTAGTTAAACACGTATCTTTTGCATGCTATGATAGATTTCATACACACAAATAAGGTCCTGAACAGTATATTCTGGAAGTGAATTTATTGTCATTCTAGTGTAGTGATCGCCCTCACAAAAGAAAGAGAAAATAAGGCAACTATCCCATGGCAAACACAATAATTCTTTTACCTTTACTAATACCAGATTTTCCTCTGTTTCACATGTTTTCCTTAGTCTAAATGTTTTGTCATTGTATTTTCCCTTTTCTGTGTGTATAAAATATGTTTGAGGGCTTGGGAGTTCATTTTTTCTCCACCTTTAACAAAGTATCTGAAATAGAAACATTTGTCCAGTAAAGTACTAGTTCCTTTCCTAATTCCAGAGTGCTACAGGTGAGAGTTGGAGAATTCTGTAAGTATGGGAATGATAGGTGACAAGAACATAAATAAAGATGTTTTTGTTTGTAATGCTAATTTTGAGGGGTCTCTCCATTCTTCAAATATTCATTAGGCTCAAAAGATTCACTAAAACATATATTCTTCAATCATGTATACTTCATTGTCAGTAGTCATTATCCTGTTTGTATTAGTTTAGACCAGTAAAGTGATAAATCCTTATGTAACAGTGGGTTTGGTATATAGAGGGGTGAAAAAGTCTTAACTAAATCTTAGAACGAGTTGTAACCAAGTCAGATTGTTAATGGGAGTTTGGTCCTATAGTCAACACAGACTCTCATTGCATTAAATACAATTCTGACATATTTTGCTCTTTGATTTTTGTGACTTTTAAAACACTAGTGTATTAATATTTGAAATCAGTGTCCACTCCTGTCCATAATTCTCAAGATCACTAATATTTTAAAAAATATTGTGTCTATTTTTTACACTTGAAGTTATAACAGACTTGCAGGCTGCCTTCATTAGTACTAAAAATACCTTCTACATTTGTATTTTTAAATTTGGGGAGAAAAGGTGGAAAGGGATCTTTCTATAACAAATATCTCAGATGCATTGGGTATGTGTTATTTTTAGCTCATGTAAGCAGTAATATTTGAAGAGTGGAGTAGTAGAACTTTGTACTTGCTAGTGGGGAGAAATATTTTATCACCATCATTGTTTACCTTGACGTTGGTTGATTTTCATCAGGTTTGTCTTTAAATTAATACAAACAATGCACTCTTTGCTGCTTGCATTAGGGGTAACTGCTTCCATTCCATGTTTTTAGTATGTAGTGCATACCTGGCATCAAATACTGAAATAGTGTTTGATTTCTACAATGGCTTCATGTTGACTCCAACCATACCCCAACATAGAGCTAATTAGAATAAGAAAAATTATAAAAAGAAAGTTCATTAAAACTTGGCATTTCCTAGGAATTTTCATAATGAATCAGCAGAATCACTACTATTTGAAATGCTAGCAGTATAATTAAGCTGAAGCCAAATATATCAACAAGCTTGAGTATTAAGTTCTACTGGGAAATTACTACTCATAGCGCTATGCCTATAGTACTTTAAAAAAAGAAAAATACTACAGTATCAGACTGTTATAGTGAGCAAGGATCCTTACATTCCAAGGAGTAAAACCATCCACAACAGAAGAGTAAGAGCTAGATATTTTTTAAAACATTAAAAAAAAAAAAGGAACATACTTAAGCTTCAAAAATGTTAAATTCATTGTTACTGTGTAATTCAAGTAAAGGGAAAGAAATGTATTTTGAAACTATTTTTAGTTGATTTTTTTAGCTGATTACAGTATATATTAAAGCAAGCAATTTTCCAAATCTGACATGTAAATATTTTTAGAATTTACTTAAGCTGAGTTGTCTTATTTTTAAAAGATTCACTTCTTAGACCTTATCTTCCCCAATTACCAACAATAATTTATAGGCAAATTATGGCTTACTTACCCCTCCCTTACAAGGTTCCAGGATTCAAACAGCTGAAGAATAAGATAAAAAGTTTATTTTAAAGCATTCCATACATAAGCAAAGAATATATTTAGATTTTTTTATAAACTTTTTTTTTT